TCTTTAAAGCAAAAGGCGTTATCAACTCACTCTAATTTGCAAATTTTAAAGGAAAACCATGACCTCTCAGCTTGTCTTACTGATTTTAAAAAGACTATACAGGAATCCTGCACTAAATCTGCTACAACAAACACGTCTTTTGCAGACATGGTAAAAAAGGGATCCAACAACTTTATTCGCCCTAGCCCTGTCAGTTCTGTTGTAATCTACCCAAGCAATGCTGCACAAAGTAGTGACGAAACAAAAAATTTGGTCCAAAAAATTATTAGCCCTGAGGAGATGAAACTGAAAGTACGTGGTCTTCGTAAAGTAAGAAATGGAGGAGTGATCGACAGCACTGAGACCAAAGACGACATTCATAAATTGAAAAATTCAGTGCTGTTAGCAAACTCAGGCCTGACTGTTGATGAGACCAATAAACGCAAGCCGCGTATTATAATCATAGGAGTACCTTCATCTATGACTGAAAGTGACGTCTATAAGTGCATCTACGAGCAAAACGTAGCAGAATCGTCATTAAATATATCTAGAGATACTTTCCTGAACTCTATAAAACTGAGCCACAAATCAGGAAAACGAGATGCAGACACCTGCAACTATATTTTAGAAGTACCTGCTACTATACGCAAAGCCTTAATTATACAGGACAGACTTTTTATTAACTGGAATTTTTGCTCGGTACGTGATTTCACACTTGTAACTAGATGCTACAATTGCCAGCAATATGGCCATGCCGCTAAAACTTGCAAGGCGACAGCTTCTACCTGTGGCCACTGTGGCGAAGATGGCCATTCTCTCAAAGACTGCACAAAAAAAGCCGATCCACCAAAATGTGCCACTTGCGTTAAATTTAAAAAACCGTGCGGCCATAGGACCGGAGATGCCGAATGTCCAGCTAAAAAAGCTGCCGAAACTAGGTACATTAATACTATTGATTATGAAGGCGCCTAGAGCGCCACTTATTTGTTATAATTAGAACTTTACTATGGACATTAATATAATAAATGAAATAGATGATCTATCTATGTCTAATTCATGTTTATGTGAAGTCGGAGAGTGTAGACAATATCTGACCGCTTATAAAAACTCATTAACTGTACTCACCCAAAATATACGTAGTATTTATAAAAATATTGATAATTTTGATATTTTCCTCCATAGGCTTAACTTTGTTTGTGATGTAATTATACTAACCGAGTGCTGGTTAACAAAACGGAACGGCAACCTACCAACAAGGCCAGGTTATAACTTATTTTATAGTCAAAATAATCACAACCAAAATGATGGAATAGTTATTTATGTTAGAGACTCCTTGCAAGTCACCCTCGAGGAACCAGCTCTTCAGGGTTGTAGTTGTTTGTTGGTACATATTAACCAAGATACAGTTATTGTCGCAATATATAGATCCCCATCTGTCACAAACATAGATAATTTCAACGGAAACTTAGACCAGATACTTCAATCATTAACATCTTTTAAAAATGTAATAATTACGGGTGATATTAACATAAACATTATACCCGACATACATGATGCTGGAAACCAAAATTATCTCAATCTATGTTCGTACCATGGTTTTTACCCAGGCCATACATTACCAACACATCAGAGTGGTTCTTGTCTCGACCATATGATGATAAAATCTAGGTCAACATATCTAACACTTGTCACAAAAACGCCGCTTACGGATCATTCCGCTGTCTTACTAACCTTAAAGTTATCGCTGCCTAAACTGAATCATAAACTAGTAAAATCTAAGTTAAACATAAAGAAACTCGAACACGATTTATGCAAGCTTGACTTTGCCCCAGTTTTTCAATCGACGGACACGAATGCATCTTTGTTGTATTTAATTAATAATGTTGAACAAGCTATATTACATAATACGTCTGTAAGTGCTTCAAATAAACAATATCAAAATATCAAACCTTGGATAACCCCGGGTATTATTCGATGTATAAGACACAGGGATAAACTTCATATGAGGACAAAAAACTATCCCGATAACCTCACATTGCTAGTTATCTATAGGAGATACAGGTATTTCGTTAATAATCTTTTGAAAAAATTAAAAGCAAATTATGAAAAAAATGAACTACTCAAAGCAGGCAAGGATAGCAAACGCCTTTGGAGACATATTAAAAATTTTACCTACACTTCAAAAAGGCACGAATCGTGTTCGAGTTTACTATTAACTCATCCTTCACCGCTTATATCAGCCAATTATGTAAATAACTATTTTATTAATATGGGAAAAGACCTTGCAGAACGCCACCAACCTCTAAATCTATTTTCTCAGTCACTTAACGCTACCACCAGTAGGAATAGTTTTGTTATGTTAGATACCGACCAGCAAGAAATTTTACAAATAATTACAAATTTGAAAGATGACAGTGCAGTCGGCTTTGATAACATTAGCAATAAAATCCTCAAAACTTTTAAGCATATTTTAATACCACCGTTAACACGCATTTTTCAAATCTGCCTCTCGCAGGGTATTTTTCCACAATGTTTAAAAAAAGCAGTAGTTACTCCTGTCTATAAATCTGGATGTAAAGATCAAGTAAATAACTATAGACCAATATCAGTGCTTCTATCCTTATCAAAACTATTAGAAAAAATTATTAACAAAAGGCTTATTGACTACCTGGAAAAAAATAACTATTTGTCACCTACGCAATTTGGTTTTCGGGCAAAGTTGTCAACAGCAGATGCGGTGCATAACCTGACTAACTATATTACTCAGGAACTAGGCAAAGGAAAGCATACTCTAGCTGTTTTTCTTGATTTAGCAAAAGCGTTCGATACCGTTTCAATTCCGAAGCTTCTAAAAAAGTTGGAAGCATTGGGTATTAGAGGAACGCAGTTAAAACTATTTGCAGATTATTTAGACAATCGATCTCAATGCGTTAAAATAGGAAATATTAAAAGTGATTACCAGAAAATGACCTGCTATGGTATTCCCCAGGGAAGTATAATCGGCCCTACCCTTTTTCTCGTTTACATCAATGATTTATGTAACCTTAATTTAAAATGTGGTAAAATTATATCTTACGCCGATGATACGGCCTTGATTTTTGCGCCAATAGTAGGTCAGAATTATATGAGGTAGCTCAACTTGGTCTTAATGGTGTAAATAACTGGCTTCGCTTCAATTTACTAACACTGAATACTGACAAAACCAATTATATTCACTTTTCTATGCGCCAGCCTTGTCATGGGTTTACAAATCCTAACTTATACGCACACCAATGCCAATATCCTTCAGTCAATAAATGCGATTGCCCTTTAATACAGAACACATCCCATATAAAATATCTTGGTATCTTAATTAACGACACATTATCTTTTAGACAGCATATTGCAAATCTAGTAGTCAGGATCCGTAAATTAATGTATATTTTTAAAAAATTACGTACCATTGCAGGTCCAAAACTAATTAAACAGGTATATCAGGCCTTATGCCAATCAGTAATTCAATATTGTATAACTTCATGGGGTGGAGCTCTCAAAACTATTTTAATCCTTCTCGAGCGAGCTCAGAGAGCCATTTTAAAAGTAGCCAATTCACTTCCCTTCTTATATCCTACGCATCAACTTTACAAATACTGTAATGTGTTAACTGTTCGCCAGCTTTTCATTATGCACACCATATTAAAACAACACACCATTTCACCTTTTTGCTCTGATATCACTAACAAAAGACGGAAAGATATAGTCTGCCTCTCTACAAATGATTCAAAATACATCTTTTCACATAGATTCTCTACTTTCCTAAGTCCTTTCTTATATAATAAGTTAAATAGAGTATTAGGTATTTACACATAAAACTATTTTAACTGTAGAACTGTAATATTTAATTATTTGCACAGCCTGACATACGAGCAGACCGAAGAATTACTTCTTATTTGTAAATAAATGAACGTAACTCCATTATTTACATTTACCAACATTTATATAATGATTACTTTAAGTTCTGTTTTAATTAATTTGTTAATTTATTAATCATTCAATGTATTATTTAGATCATAAAAGCCTGAAATACAGGTACAATTTTAACTGTAACCTAGTTCAGGCATCCATTATTTTGTATTTTATATTGTTATTAGTATTATTATGCAATGTATGACCTTATTTGAATAAAGATATTTATTATTATTATTATATTATTATTATTACTTTAGATAAAATACTTAAGGTTTTTTTTGCTGAAATATAAAACAAAATCATTGTCTGAATTCGCTACTAAATTTTCGCAGATAACTCAAAATTCACAGTGTATAAGAGTAAAACACTATATCCAAGTCCAAGGTTACACCATTTGACATTAATTTGCCTCTTGGTGTTAATGAACCTGTTTGATGCTATTCCGACCCCACCAGATATTTACATGCGGTAAGTCAAAGCAAATTTGATGTTACTTTTGTGTTAGCAAATTTATCACGAGATTCTCATGTAAACATCAAACAAAGCCCGGGTTATTAGTCTTCTTCAAAACACGGCGTTCACAAACATAATTATTAATTACAATGTTTCAGGGCAATCACTTCGCTCTGTTAACGTAAAACAAGTAAAACATTATTGAAACAACTTCCATATGATGTTGCGGTGACGTTTATTATAATGCTAGAAACATTTTATTTTTATGTCAAATTCGCCAAGACGAATGGATGTCTATGTTATTTGGCTATCTTATTGATTCTGAAGCGAATGATATTGATATAATACTAATAAATTAATTTCATTATTCATATTATAAAGTTAATCTAACAAGTTAATGTAGGGGAGAGTCCGAGATAACTCATAGCGTCATGCATATCCCCATGTAATGAAAGAAGTTAAGGTTTACTTAATTTCTAGACTCTAGTTTTGATGTGTATAATTTTAACTTTATTTTAACTACCAAAGGATTTAATACTACTTTTTACAGATTCTTAATAACTAAATTTAAGTTGCTGATTTATATTTCGTTTAATTAAACTATGTGCTAAAGATTTACTTCAGCTAAATTTAACCTTAGCCTTAGCAAACAAACTGTTCTTAATAAGTTTCAAAACTTTAAGACTAATATAACCTAGAAGTACGAGAAGTGTTATAATCACAATTGATATGTAAAATACTAGTTCCAGCTCGAAGTATTGGGACCAGGTGATATTTGCGGATGGTGACCGTAAATGGCGAGCTCCACCGTTCCTTAACACGTACTCCGTCCACCAGACAGCGCGTTCTAACGGGGTCTGTGGCTGATCACGCATTAGTGCGCGTAAGCGTTGCATGTTGCGACGATAGCTAGAAGAGATGATTTTCAAAATCAATATCCAGAAACTAATCCAAAATTAGGTAACCTTAAAACAATACCCAACAGTCCAACAGTCTGGTAATTTGACAAAAACCGACCAAACAAGTTAGACAAGCAGCCAATCAGGGCAAGGAAATTATAATCACAGAATGTTAGTTCAATAGCCCAGCCAGAAAACATTATTCCGGACAAAGATTGAAACATGAAACTAAAAGATGACAACACCGTGAAGTCCACGTACAAACTACTTGAATGAAGTAGACTTCGGAAAATATTTGAGTCAAAATATGCATTTGAAATGCATATATAATACAATGTCAGTTACAATGTGGAATATTTTGTTCCATGGCATGTGATTTGCTTTTGTGGCTTCTTTAATCTAGATGACGTGCATTTCTTGATAATACCTTACAATTCAGCTTTATTACCTGTCATTATTTAGAACCTCATCCAGAGCCTGTTTGAAAATCTCTTCAGTCATTGTACCCATGTCAACGTAAACACCAACTTTGTGATGGACGCACTGCTCTACGTTGTACCACTGGTCACCCAGTATCGGCATCCCGATGATTGGTACACCTGCAGTGATTGTCTCGTCAGTAGATTGCAGACCTCCTTGGGTGATGAATAGCTTGATTTTTGGGTGTCCTAAGAGTAGAAGCCAAAAATTATTGGATAGTGGTGACGACGGGGTAACCATTATATCTCAGTTATGTTTTGATTATGTAAATAAATAAAAACTGCGTGTCCAAAACTTTTTAATAATTTTGCTGATAGAGGAAGAAATAAATTGTCGTTATCCCTATTGGTTGTAACAAACTTAACTGATTTAGTACGAAGCTGTTAATGTGTATTTATATGGGACTCATAATAAAAGCTTTATTAACAAACTAAGTAACATAACGGCCAATTGCATTATTTTACTGAATTACTTATAGTTTCTGGATTTACGAAATATTAACATTAAAATAAAATAAAACGAATATTTCGTAAAAAAATACTAAGTAATTTTAAATTATTAAATGATATGTTATTGCTTTATTTATTTATTTATTAAAACTTAATTGCACAAATGAGTGCACAAGTGGCGGATTTAATGCCATTAGGCAATCTCTACCAGTCAACCGAAGCATTGTTTTCGAAATCTTTATTGTTTGTTTTGAGAGACGGCGTTCTAGAAATGGATTAGAATGGATGGACATCTATATAATTTAGGTAACTAATTGATTCTGAAGCAAATCATATTGATATAATACAAATTTAATAAATTAATTCCATTTTTCACATTAAAAAGGTAACATTTTATTTTGAAGAAGGATTTATATAGCAGAAAGGAGAAACAAAGTAGTCGACCTGATATATCCAGTCAGAAATTAAAACACGAGGGAATCCATAGCAGGATGTTGATAAATTTTTATTTGTTGACCCTGCTACTGTTTAATAACCAAGTCAATATTTTGACATGATAATTTTGGTTTTTTCCAACAGATACCAATTAGACTAGCCCCGAAGTAAGCACTGTAGGCTTGCGTTATGGGATATTAGGGTAAAGGGTTTAGATAGAATACATTTTTTATACTGATACATATATAAGTATAATTATATAGAAAATCATAATAAATATCCATGACTGGAGGTATTTATCACACATTACTAGAGTCCAAATGTTCGTATTCATCACACAAACATCTGCCCTCACCGGGTTTAGAACCCGGGACTTCTTGAGTAGGCGGCACCTTGAAATATAAACCAAGCCCACGGATGTCGTCAAAATCGTCAAAATATCAGTAAGCGTAATGAATAGCCAGATTACCGAAAAGTTGTAGATTACGTTGAACTCTGCAGTAGTAAGTGTAAGTGGGTTCAAGTCTGATTACAGAACTTAATGTAGATGGAACGCACGGTACACAATCAAGTCAAAAGCGAATATTAACTAGCGCCAGTACACTACAACGCATCATGTTGTTAATACGTCCCGTGAATATTAAGTTTTTATCAAAACTGTGCCGCCTTGTTCAAACATTGTAAAACTGTTCACAGAGACAAAAAAGTCTTTGCTTTCGCAATTGCGTGTCCCGTGCGTTTCATCTTCCTTTTGTTCTGATATCTGAGGTTTTTGTATTGAGGAACATAATTTGTGTCGTTAGTTGTATTTGTCTTTAAATTATTGTACTTACTTAAAAGATCTGACTGGGGTAGCCACTTTGAAATTTTTATGTTTTTGCTCCGTCCAGGTAGCTCATCAGTATTCCATTTCCACAAAACATCATACGACAATGTTGAAAGCACATCAATCATTATTTGTACTTTTTCAGGTATCAGCAATGAAGTATTTACGTTGGTACCAAAACTAATATATATCACACCGTTTTCTGATAAGTCTAAATACTCCTTGAGGTCCTACAACAAAAGGGAAAATTTAAATAGATCTATAGAATGCGAATGCACACACACACACACACACACTCAAAAGGCACTATTTTTGTCTATGTCAGTGTTTCAATGTTACATTAAATCAAGGTTTTTATAAAATATATTATAATGTTTTTTTCGTCTAAATTGATATATCTCAAAATATTTTAAACAAATTACCTGAGGCAGTTCCTTCTGAGGATTTTGATGTAGTCCTCCTGTATATATGACATTAGGAGGCATAGGGCGATTCATTTCCCAAATCGGATGCACGTTCAGAAAAACCAAATCGACGTTATTCCTTAATTGACTGGTATCGGGCAAGTCAGGTCCAAACGTTTCCTTGAGACATCTTTCGGTTTTTGCACTTATTTCGCCAACAAAAAATGTGTAGAAACAGTACACGATAAGCTCTCTTAACTTATCCCACATCGTCTGATTGTATATTTTCTGATGAACCATGGTAGGAAATAAAAGTGGATGCGTAGAAGCACCAACTATTGCCAGATTTTCTACTGTGGATCCGAAGGAGCTGATCTGTATTACAGGTGCTTTGATAAAATGAGTTAGAGCTAATGCGGGGATAAAATAAGCTTCCAGTAGGAGTAGATCGAACTTGTTACTTTTATCTTTCAAAATTGTCTGTACATCTTTAGAGGTTATTTGTTCTTTAAATATTTCTAATATTGTATAATACATCAATAAGCCTTTCTCTATAGAATCTTCTTTGGTTCCTTGGTTAACGGTAGATTTCAGGAAATGTTCTCTCCATAATGTGTAGGATTTGTCGTGGAAATCTATTTCAGTGAGGTTTGCTGGCGCTTTCCCATTCGGGAATATAGGGTCCGTTGTGATCACAACTAATTCATGGCCTCTTTTGAGAAGTTCTAGTGTCAAAGGACGAAATACCACTTGATGACTGATAGAAGGAGTGGGATAAACCGCCAATATTCTTGCTGCATCGTTTCCACATACTGATAACAATAATAATAACAACACTGAAGTTTGCGGAATATTAGACATATTAAGGAAACACAACTTATATGGTCTGTTCAATGTTCACTTTAATAATGCATAACCGTATGTAAACGATTAGTTCTTATATATTTTAGATAAGGTTTAGTAGTACGTTGGATAATAAGATTAGGCATATTCACTATCGTTTTCGTGCACTGTATTTTTTATCTGTTAACCTTAAAAAGTAGTGATTCGTTTTATATGTCGTTACGTAATTCCCATTATATGTAGATTTATAAATGACGAAAAGACTGGGATGCTAAAAACCCACTGATTGCTAAATTTTAACATCAAAATTATTCCTGGATAATATAATAATCATCAGCAGTTTTTGTTTATCCATTTCTGAACGTAGATCTGTCCCATTTATATGAGAGGTTGTGTAAGCCATCATCACCACGCCAGCCCCGACGGGTTGGTGTTCGCAGTACTGCAGCCAACTGATACGGTTACTATTGTCGCCTGTAGATAATACTTTAGGCAGCCGTGCTTCTCTCCGTGTGATTGGCCCTCCTAGTTACTGGCAGGCTGCTTCCCAGAGCAACACTTATTTAATGGCGTTGTTTGCTTGCCATATCACAAGGTTGTGATGAATCCAGACCACTGAATCCTCCAACACGCCCTGGTCATCATAGCGCCTCAGGTCCGGGGTTGTTTTTTTTAATTTCCCTTTATTCGCAGCTGTCTTTCGTTTTAAAGGACGTTTCACTATTCGCCTTCTGTCACTGTCAATAGTGGAAGATGGCGGAATACCAAATAAATAAAGAAGTATAATAATACTGTATTATTCTGTCCAGGCGTCTAAACGCCTATCCGTATTGCAATAGCAATCACGCAGGCACCTTTTTATCAGGAGTATTTTTTTATATTGGTGCCGATTCTGGCATGATTCTCTAAATCTAAACTTAAATTTGACAACAGTGTGTCCTTGTCATTCTCTATACAGAATGAAAAGGAGAGAATGATGTTAAATTTAGTTTTAATTTTAGAGAATCACGCCAGAATCGACACCATTGTGTGGTTAAAGGTAAATTAATTCTTCATTCTTCATCTTGTTGTTGTGTAGAAACAAAATAAATAATAACCTTTAAAAAAATGTCCAGAAAAGAGAACAACAAATAAACAGGAACGGGAAGGAATGTATATTTTTATAGAATAAGTATAAAACACATTAAATAAAAATACAATAAGGAAAGCGGTAGAGTGTGTGATGATGAGAAGTGTGGTGATGTGTGTAGTGCGCGTGTAGTAGGCGTGGGTCGTCGGTGATCTTTGAAGTGGAGGTTTGAGGCCTAGGCTTGAGGGTCAGGAGGCCGTGCCGTAGGTAGACGGGCGGTGCTATGGGTAGACGGGCAGCGCTACTGGTCGGGCGACGCTCCTGGTTCTCGGCCGGCACTGCTGGTGGTCGGCAAGCGCTGCTGGTAGTCGGTCGGCTCTGTTGTAGAACGGCTGGCGCTGCTGGTGGACAGCAGGCGCTTCTGATTGGCGGGCCGAAGCTGCTGGTGGCCAGACAATGCAGCTGGAAACCGGGCGGCAATAGGTGTCCGCCGATGCGAAAGAATGTAGAGTGGTTTAGTGGAGTAAAGCAGGAAGTTATAAAGGCTAAAGGTTGCCGTAGGGCTTTGAGACCTTCGCTTGAGTCCCGGGGCAGCCGACCCCGGAACAAGGCCTCTTAGTAATTTCGAGCTTGGTAGCGAGCAAAGAGTAGTGTCGTTGGCAACTGTTGCCGAAGGAATGCTTGCAGGATCAGAGTGGCTCGGCCTTTTATAAGTCCGGAACCGTTTGAATTTGGATTAAGTGCGAATAAGCCTTAAAAGGATAAAAATAAGTATCCTGTGGAGATTGGTCTAGCCAGTCGAAAGAGTATCCGTGTCATGGGTAGCCATGGCAACGGAGAAAACCTAACTGTCAGCCAAATATGTAAACATAAATAATAAATAAATAAATAAATATTTCCAACACTCACACCAATTAGCCTAGCCCCAAAGTAAGCACTGTAAGGCTTGTGTTATGGGATGCTAGGGGTAACGGATAGAATACATATACCGTACATATATAAGTATATTTATATAGAAATACATATTAAACATCCATGACTGGAGTACAAATGCTCGTATTCATCACACAAACATCTGCCCCCACCGGGATTCGAACCCGGGACCTCTCGAGTCGGCGACACCATGAAACCCGGCGTACAAACCACTCGACCACGGAGGTCGTCTAAAATATTAATAAAAAGAATGAAAAGCAGATTAAAACATAAGAATAAATAAATTACAACGCAACTATATATATATATACTAGCTGTCCCAGCAAACTTCGTACCGCTATAAAAAAAATAGGGGTTGGTGGTAGAAAAGTGATAATTTAGGGTTGGATGTATTTTTGTAGGATGTATCATAAAAAAAATAAAAAAATATCTAAAATTTAAAAAAACAATTAGGGGTGGATTACCCTTAACATTTAGGGGGATGAAAAATAGATGGTGTCCGATTCTCAGACCTACCCAATATGCACACAAAATTTCATGAGAATCGGGAAAGCCGTTTCGGAGGAGTTTAACCACAAACACCGCGACACGAGAATTTTATATATTAGATTATATATATATATATATAAAAGTCAAAGGTGACTAACTGACATAGTGATCTATCAACGCACAGCCCAAATCACTGGATGGATCGGGCTGAAATTTGGCATGCAGGTAGATGTTATGACGTAGGCATCCGCTAAGAAAGGATTTTGATCAATTCTACCCCCAAGGGGATAAAATAGGGAATGAAAGTTTGTATGAAACTTTGTCAATTTTAAACCGATCGGGCTGAGACTGCATGCAGGTATTAGAAGAATCATAGATGAATGTCATTGTGTATAATACAAGCCTGAGAAAAAAACTGTAGTCGACACTTCAGCTTTACACCGAAGCGAAGCGAGGGCGGGCCGCTAGTTTAAAAATATAAGGATATGGAGAAATGCCGTTAAGTGTCCGGCACTCTGGAACAGCAGCAAAGTGTTATCATACTGATGCGTGATGCAAATCGATGAATTTGTGCGTTTCCAGGAATGAATATTACCAAATACGGATAAATTAAAGTAGAATGCTAAAATTGAGGACCACATGGAAGACAAGAACTGTGAAATGGTATCTTTAATTGCCAAATCGAAGTCGTGTCTAAGGTACGTTACATTGTACCGAACGATATTACAAAGCTTCTTCAACAATTATAATTATCGAGCAAAAACCTTGGATTTCATTTACCACCATTGTGTAACAAAATACAATTCAATTTCGTTTATTACGTGTTGTTTTGAACTTCAAAATATTTATTGTTTATTATATTTTCCGAAATAACACAGAAATCTTTTTTGCAAGATATAAAGGAGCTCGATGGTGCAGGTGGTTAGCACATTTGGCCTGCAGTCATGGAAGTTAAGCAGCTTTCACACATGGTCCTGAAATCCGTACTTTAAATGGTCGGTCATTGGAAAACCATGCAAAAGTAGAAGGCACCTTAAGCCGTTGGTTCCGGCTGCATCGTTAGCACATACCAATCCACATTCGGCCTGCGTGGTGGGTCTAGTCCGCGTAGAGAAGGCCTATGGTGCCGCAGCAGTGGGGACATTAACAGGCTGACGATACTGAACATCAAGAAATAGGTACTAGAAATGTTTTTATACAATTTTATTTTTTATTTTCTTTAATTTACATTACATAATGAAACTGTATTAGGAGTAACCCAAAATTTTAATTCAAGGAAATGACAAAACCTACGCTCAATATCGCGAGTCCTTTTCAGAGCCTCCAAGCTGAATTTGCAAAGTATAAATGGCTAATGAAATTAGATGCACGCATGCGGGGGCTGGCCTAAATGAGCTTCATAAAGTACTGCGTAATTAGGGTTGAGATTCAGTATACGAGCACATAAGGCATAGGGACAAAGATTCTTGCTATTTAAAATATGCATTTTATG